TCTATGCTATCTTTTGCTATTATTTCTTCTGTTAGACTGTGAACTGTGATAATTTTAAGTTGTTTTTCATAAAACAGATTCATAATGTATTTTATTATTCTTTTAGATATTTTAACTTTTTACAATACTAGTACTAAACTCTTAAGTAGGACTGAGTCAAATATCTTTTTCATGTTTTGCAGAAATACTTATACTTCTTTATTTTTTTTTTTGCTTCTTTTATTATTATATTAAGAATATATACTGACTGTTTTGTTGAGTTGCCTAGAAGGCTTGCATAGATTGGTTCTTTAAGATTTTTTTTTTTTATGAACACTTTGGCAAGCCTTTTTGTTACTATTTTTGTTACAACTTTTCTAAAAGTTTCTATTAATGCTATTGGTCAAATGTGTTCAAACTATATTTCTACTCAATATCTTTTAGTATTGGGTAAACTTGCACTATCTTTTATTTGTTTGGTATCTTTTTTACTTCTAGACATAAGTCTGCAAAGTCTCTAAATACTTTTTGTGTTTTTTTTTTCTGCTCACTTTATCAGAATATAACTTATATCTGATATGCTTAGAGCTGTTTCTGTCTTTAGTTTTTTTAACACTTTTCTTATTTTTTTTTCAACTTCTGTATATTATTTCTCTTTTGATGTTTTTTTATGATTTATATATTTTCTTTTACTCTTCTGACATTTTTTTTAATTTAGTATTTCTTTTTTTAAATTGCTTCTTGTAGGGTTCTGCTATTTCTGCTCTAATATCTTCTGAGCCTGTTAACAAATTCATTTTTTTTCTACTTGTTTGATAAATCTGTCAAGTACTATTTTCTTATAAGGCCTATTTATAAGACTAGCTATCATCTTTCTCTAATCTGTTTTAATTATTTTGTATCTTTTATTTATGTTCTCTTCTATTTGTTTTTATTGTATTTGTTTTCAATCTTTTTTTTTTCTTTTTGATAATAGCTTTTTCAACCTTTTATATCTTCTATCTATGCATTTAACTATTGCCTTTGTAATCTTAGTAGTTTTGCACCAATTTTTTTGCCTAGTGTTTTTAATTGTTCATTTACTTTACTTTTTTCTTCTTCTGTTAATATTTGGGGTTTTCTTGTTTTTGTATATTTAATTAATTTTTAAAACTTAACAATGCTTTTTTTTTGTTATTGTTCTCTCTAACTTCTTTTATTTGTTATTGTGTTACATATTATTTTTTTGAGTATGTGTTTACTTGCTGCTATAATAACTGCTTTTACTATTATATCTTATATATTGTTTATCTTCTCTGCTTTTTACTTTTTATCTTATTCTTGCTTATATATATCTTTTAATATCTTCTTAATTTCTAATCAGTTTTGTAACTTTTGTATATAATTTTTTTAAACTTCTAATTTTGCTTGGTCATATAAATATACTGTTCTTGACTGTCTTTTTTTTTTTAATCTCTATCTTGCTTTTTTCTGCTATTATATGCTTAATCTATACCTTAGGCATTACTATTCTGTAATTACTCTCTATAATCTCTTCTATTTCTTCAATTTTTATTTTTTGTAAATCTGAGTCTAATTCTTCTAATATTTATATATAGTTAATTCTTGTTGTTACTTCTCTATTAGACTATATATATTGTTAATTTGTTAAATTCATGTCTTTATATATGTTTCTAAAGTCTTGTTTCTTCATCTAATTGAAGATTGACAACCTTTTGTAATTTATTGTTTATGAATATTGTCTGTCTAAAATATTATCTACTATATAATTAAAATTATCTATTACAATAATTTGTATTTGTTTTTTCCTCTTCAAGAACATTTTTATGATTTTTTGCTAAATGTTTTTCTTTACTACATTATAATTTGGTAATATATAGACTATAATCACTACTAACTCTAATTGTTTGAAGTATAGTATTATTTTTATTATATATTTACTTATTTTTTTAATTGTATCTATATGTTTTTTCTATTGTTTATCAATTATAACTTCAATATCTGAACTTTTTTTCTTATTCTCTGCTGCATTTGTTCAAAATCTTACATATTTTTTTGGCTGTTACTTGTGTTAGAAATTTTTTTTCTCTTTTTGTAAGTTTTGTTTTTGTAATTTTTAATACTATAATTTCTTCTTCTTCTGCCTAATTGAGCAGATTTTTCAATTTTCAACCTTTAGTCTTGAGTCTATTTATATTGTAGCATGCCAATTTTATTTTTTTTTTATTTTTTTTTTATTTTTCTTTTAGTGGTTTTTGTTTTGTTTTTATTATTACAGGATTGCAGCCTTCTTGGTACAATTCAACCAAGTAATAAGATTATCCAATACAATGATTAACTATTGCAAATATATACAGAATGGAGGTGTAGTAGTTCACTTTATTATATAGCAGTAGGCAAACAGTTTGAGATAATAATAGTATATAGATTAACTTTTTATTAACAATACACATAGTAACAACTTTGCCTATAGGAATTATCCTAGAGAAAAAATATCATATTTTATAATCAAAAGGTCATTATGTCTGGGTTAAAATATAGAAACTTAGAATTGGCAGGAAAGGGAAAAAGGTATACTTTATATATCTTTTTATCTAGTGAAGGTAGTAGGGTTTGAGTAACATCTTTTGATATTGTACTTGGGGTAGTAGGAATTGTGCAAAAGCAAGTAGAGTTTGTACAAGGATAGTTGGAACAATGTTTATGTATATTTGTCATTTGTACTTGAAATACTTAGAACATGTGTCAAGGTACTTGGGTTTGTGCAAGGACACTTGAGATTATGCAGAGACACCTGAGAATTGTGTTGAGATACTTGGGATTATGTAGAGATATATAAAACTTGTGTAGAGGTACTTGGGGTTTGTAAGACAATAATGATATTATAGATGTTACCCAATATCATATGTCTGTATCACACTTCTAACAGCCAATTAAGATCCTATTTTTTAATTAATATATATTATAATATAACTATGCTAATAACTAATAATAAATATAATATAAAATACAATAATGAATATATAACAACTACTAATAATATAATATACTATGCTATACTAAAAATCTACTTTGTAACATTTTTCTTTCCTTAAGAATTTTATTCTACAAAATTTCTACAACTTTTGTATTATATATAAAAGGCAACTAATTAGTTAAACTTAACTTTATTTATATCATTGATATGCTTAAAAGTCAATTTCTTTATTTAATAAATTTGTTTATAGCCTAATGCTTTAAACAATTAATAAGTTCTAGTCTAAACCTTAATTTGACTTGCATTAATAAACTTGTTATAATCGACTGATATTATTAACCCATTTTTTAAGCCACACGCTACAGTGATCAATATAGTGATTGACAAAATTAGCCAATAAAATTTCTTATAAAAATTTAATATAATGATAATTTTATAATTCACAAGATATTTAATTAAACTATAAAAGGTAAGTATGAATACATATAATGAAACTTTCATAATGGATCGATATAAAAAAAAAACTATAGTTTCTTAAGAAAACAGTAATTTTCTACATCAAACTTTTTTTTTTCTTCATTTTAGAAAGACTAACTATACTGCCTTTGTAAATTAGCTTTTTTTTATTGATATTTAGCAAAAACTAAAAACTTTATAATATTTGATTTTAGGTTTATATTAAAAATAATAATCAAATAACAAAATGCTAAAGAATTGAGCAATAATACACATAAATTTATTAAGTAATATTAAAGAAACAAAAATTCTCAGATCTAATAAGATTCGTTTATTAAGAATATAATTCATATTTTTTGTTAAATAAAAATAAAATAAAAGTGATAAAGACCCTAGTTCAACTATATAAAAATTAAATCTTGACCTATTTATAATCTTTTTAATTAGAATAATACTAAGTGCTTACTTTTTTAATATTTTTTGTTAATGAAATTAGTTGATTGGATTTATCAAATACAAAATTCATAAAATGCATTAGAAAAAATTTAAAATGCTTTGCTGAATAAATAAAATAATATCAATTTATCAAAATGTAATATTTCAGTCTTTAAGCAAATCAGAAACCTAAATTCACACATCAACACTAAATTCAATATTATCACAGCTTTCAAAAAATAAAGTTTTGTTTTTTCAAAAGTGTTTTGAATTGATGAAAAGCATTTTATGTTTTAATGATCATTATGCATGTTTGATAAATATATATATACAGTCAACCCTTTCAAAATTAATATGCATGATGAACATCAGTTTTTAAAGGTCAAAAAGCTATATTAAAAGCAGACTTGGTAGATCAATTTTTGTCTAATTATAGTGGGTTATTGGTTTTAACAAAATCAGTTTTGAGAAGGTTGACTGTACTTATTTACATTATGTTTAAATTACTAATTGTGCAAATTACAATATTCGAATATCTTATTTCAATATCTATTTCATTTTTATAATAATTTCCAAGATTATACAGTTGTTCTTCTCAAAACTGATAATCTGCTACAATTAATCAAAAATTGATCTACTAAGTCTGCTTTCAATATAACTGTTTGATCTCTTAAAACTGATACAACACCTGTTCATGCATATTAATTTTGAAAGAGTATTCCATTAGCATGTTCTATATTTGCAGATTTTTGATAACATTGAATGTCTTTTTTATATCGAGAACTAGTAAAATCCTATTTAGGTTAATTGGTTAGTGATAGATAAATGTAATGTTTATCTTATGTTAGGATTTATATATGTTTGAATACATCAAATTAATTTTAATACAGTAATTAGGAATTGTAATGTTAAGATAATAATCTACATAGTAAATTACTAATATACTATAATATACTATGATAAATTATAGTAACTCACTATTTTTTTGATATTATAAAAAAAAATCAGTGATTAGTTATCATATTAAATAAATTACATGAATCTGTTTTATGATTTCATAAAACTTGAAAACATTTATGCAAAGCCCTAGAATTTGTAAAGAACATCAAGTCTACAAAATTATTTTCATTCAGTTCTAGTCTTCAAGAATAAAATGCCTCTAACGAATTCTAAGCAAGAAGGTGCAAAAAAGAATTATAGTCCAAATGTCAAAGCAAAGTTATATTCACACCTTTTGCTGAATGATGATGATAAAATTACACTTACTAGTTTATTGGATAATAAAGCACCTGGAGTGATCAAAATTCAATGGGATTTATCAAATAAGAATAACATCAGAGAATGCAACCAATTTCTTTATAAACATAGACTTGATCTTGATTTTGATGATATGAAATATAAATAGTCAATTTGGCAATCCACTAAAACTAAAGTTATTAAACAATGTATTTGTTGAAGTTATAGAAAAAAGGCTACTACATCTAATTTTTGTGCTTCAGTTGCATATTATTTCTATGTAAAATGCTTTGCATTTGCTATAATGTTTATTCATAATAATGAAATTTGTGCAGTTGCAGGGTACTTGAAGCATTCAGAACAATGTATAGATAGCTTCTTAACCACAACATAACCCAATATACAAACTTTTGTCATACATTAAACAAAACACTGAAAGCTTGCTAAATCTTAATGTTCGAACCTGTGATATTTTTGCAAAGAATGCAAAAACTGTAAAGAAAATATTTGAAGGCTGTATCTTAATTGATAATAGTAGAACTTTGTTGACTGCAATGGATATTGTTAATATTAGAAAACAGATGATTCAAAAAAAATAGAATATTAATATCAAAAATGATGCAGTAGCAAATATAGAACAATTTCTTGGTTCAGATGCAGGTTCATTAGAGCTTAAAGAAGCATGTTTACACTATTAGCCTTATACAAAAGAAACAAATCATTTAGAAATAATCATCTGTACTCAAGAACAACAATAATACACATGCAAATATGAACATCAGAACCTTATTCTTGTCGATGGAACCTTTAAAATTAGTAAACATAAACTTTTTTTATTCATTATAAAGTTATTAATGAAAACAATAAAGGCATTTCTGTTACCTTTATACTTTTTACACCTCTTTCATATAATCAGCTAACATCATTAGGATATGATAGTAAGATTTTTGAATGATTATTTACAATCTTTTGAGATAAAATTAGTAAAATTTATAACCAAAATTCAAAAGATACCATAATCACTTTTAGTCCACTTGTTGCAATGACTGATACTGATGTAAAGAAATGGAAATCACTGTTGATAGTATGGCCAGAAATTATTCTACTTCTTTGCTACTTTTATATTAGTCAATGTTAGAAAAATGAAATTAATAAACAACTAGGTCGAGATGGTGACAGTAATATAATATTACAATGGCAGACTCTAAAAGCATATCTAAAAAGTTTATTGAAAAAAGTTTGGTCAATGAATGGTGATGAAGAAATAGTGTATAACTATATTAAAGAAAAAAAACTCATTAGAAAATCTTATGAAAAACACTCTAGAAAACTCAAAAAATGTTTTAAAAGTCAGAATAAAATTTCTTATATATTTGGAAAAGCAATAGGCTGAAGATCTTATATATAGCTGATGTTTTAATAGATGAATGAGAGCTGCAAATATCCTTGGAATTCCTCTTAAAAAGCTTCCTACAACAAACAACCATCTTGAGAGAATGAATGCATATTTAAAGAATAGTTAAATCAAGCGATTTCAAAGAAACAATTGTACTCTAAGAGCTGATGTGCTTTATGTTGTCCTTGTGTATAAAGTCATACCTAATATTTTGATATTACATAACCTTGCTACAAACCTTAAGCTTGAAAAAAAAAAGCAATAAAAAGAATTTAATATAATGGATCCATCAAATCATAAAATTCTAATGCAAGAGTTTCATCAAGTTGCCTACCTGGAGCCAAGCCAAAAACATAATGAATCTGCAAAGAGATTACTCCAAATGAAGAAAGTAATAAAGCATGAAATAAAACAAACAACTGAAAATATTTATGTTTATATTGAGTCCAAAAATATTCCTCAACTTATTTATATGACTTGTGTATATAGAAAACTAACAGAAATTTGTTGTCAATGTTTTGATTTCCTTCAAAAAGGAATTGCATGCAAACATCTTTGTGCTGCATCACTTTATATTGATGATCTTTATAAACAAGATCAATATGCCTATTTACCTAAAATAATCTTTGCAATTTATGAAAAAGCACAAGATATTCATTATAGTACAACTTATGAAGAAGCACAAGATATTTGTCACAATCTATATGATGATAAATTGAAAAATAGTGAAAGTGCAAGTTTTGTGCAATATAATAGTGATAATAGTAGCACTACTAATAATAGTAATAGAGACGAAGAAGATACTGATGATGAGGATAATGGTCAAAAATATAATAAAAATAATGCTAATTCATCCAATAATTTTTTTAATTATATGAAACATTTTTTTAGTATATTTGATGCACCAAAAGCAAAAAAGATATCTAAAGTAATAGACTAACTTAATCCTATTGATATTACTAAACTAAATGCTGCTGTCATTCACAAGCAAGAATTAAAAGATTTTCTGGTGTCTACTTCAAGAAGTCTACGAATGTTGCAAGATAACTTAATAATTCTTCAGGCTTTGATTTAATCAAAAGATAACCTTGATAATCTAAATACTCTAATAACTTACCTCTATGATATTGTTACATCGAATTCCTTTAAAAAAGTACAAAACCTAGTAGATCTTATATATGATGACACAAATCTTTATAAATATATCACTTCTAAGACTAATATTATTCCACTAGAGCAAGAAACTAAATAGTAATGACAAGAATCCTATAAAAGCTAATGAAGTATTGGATGCTAAGAAAAGCAAGTTAGGTAAAAATGGTAATTTTTAAAAGCAAAAACTTTTGTTGCTTCTAATACAAATATTCGATTAAAATAATTTCCAAATTAAAAGTATTTTATAATGATAATATTAGGGACATAATATATTAGTAGTTTTGAGATAAATTTAAACACAATCTTGTAATGCTAAAATGCTTATTTTATTTCAAAAAATTATACATGCTCTTTTTTATGCCTCTTGCATATGAACTTAAAGACTTATCATTATTGTATATATGAAAATTGAGACTTATGCATGTAACACAAAAAAACTTGTATGTACAGTACATATTATTTACTTATAGAATTTTATTGGCTAATTTTGTCGATCACCATATCGATCACTGTAGTGTGTGGCTTAAAAAATGAATTAATAATATCAGTCATTATAATCTGGTTTTTCTATTAATGAGGCTTCTAGATAGTAGTCATATGCTAAAACTTTGTTTTTTTTTGTTTTTTTTTTGTTAAAGGCTATACTTGTAGTGATATTTTATTGACTTTATATTGGGTTAGCTATTACAATTATTTTTACAGAGATGAGAATACAGCTAGTTATACATGCAACTTTTGGTTGTTTATTTAAGTAGTTCACCCTAAGGTTCTACACTAGATACCATACCTATAACCTACTAGAAGATTATTCATTTAAACCCTCTGATTATCTGCTTTGTCATATTGGAATCCTCAACTAACCCTTCATATATACCTAACTAGTATACTGTTTGAGCAATATAGTACCTATCTTTTTTGTACTGGTTTCTAGGCTATTACACATTTCAGAGTACATCACCTGCCAGTAAGGTGTAGGGGGCCCTCTGTTGTTAACTATCTACTCACTTTTAGAACACTAACACAGGCTACTCTTGCAGAGTTCACCTAGACCCCAGTACTAACTTCATAGCATATCTCTAGTACTTTTAGTATACCTCTGTTTTAAACCCAGACTCCCAATTCAGATAGCCTGAAAGGACTGTAACCTGTCCTTAGTATATTGAGACCAGCCCAATATCCTTTTCTTCTGGTCTGAAATCCAGTAGCCTAATTGGTAGTACCCCTTACCTGAGGTTCTTGTCTGCCTGAATCCTTTATATTAATATCCATTTCCTAGGTCTAGCCTTTACAATAGTACCATTGAAGATCTGTGTTACCTCTCTACTCAGAATTTCCAAGTAGGCTCCAGCTTTCCAGTTCTACAAATTTACATAATATAAGAACTTATTTTAGGTTTGCACTACTCAGTACCAGTTTGCATTCCTTTGTATAACAAGTTATACAGATGCCCCAGACCTGCCAGTCATGCTGGTGTGACCATAATTACAGATATTCTATCCCAACTGATCAACAGAATGCCATTACCATAATACCATCTATATATTACATAGGTGATTATTCAAATTTTGCTATCAGTAGGTTTTGAACTCATAACCTACTACTTGGAGGTATGACAACTTATCTACTTCACTAAGTCACCACACCCTTCTAAAACTTTGTTGATTAAATCTGAGTACTGTAATTGTTTACAATAATATTAAACAATTTTTTGTTTTAAAAAAAAATATTTGGCAAAATTTGTATTATCACATATCTAGTCTGTTTTATTTTTATATCTGTATTGTTCTTTGTATCTTCCTCTTCTTAAAAAGTAAGGTCTTCAAATCTTAATTACTAATTTATCTAAAATTAGTAACTTTGTTCTGGTTGGTTCATCTATTTCTAAATTTAGCAATCACATTGTTTCTATTATGATTGTTTTCTATTAATAAATTTTCTAATCTATTTATTGTTTGTATTTGTAATTATATAATTTACAAATCAGTATTATTTCAAATTTGTTAAATCTATTTCTAATTGATTTTCAAATTTGTTAAATCTACTTTTAATTGATTTCTATTTTTGTTTCTTGTTAAAGGAAATTTGATTATTGTTCATAAAAAGAAAAATACTTATATTTCTGCTCTTTTTCATCTCTTCTTTTATAAAAAATTTCTTTAACAACAACAACAACAACTTTAATAATAATAATAACAAAATGCCAAGATATAGCCTTCTAAGAAGTGTTTATCGAGCTAGACACAATGGCAACAATGCTTTGTATAGGGCCTTAGAGGTGGTTCAAAATAAAAATAGATAATGAATATTTAATTTAACAAAAATATTCTTCTTATTATTATTTTTGTAAAGCTAATAAAATTTATATAACTTGCTTCAGTTGGTAGTCTTACAAAGAAGAAGAATCCAGAGTTTAGATGAAAAGTTAAAGAAGTTAAGAGAAAATGCAGTAACAAGGGTGCAAAATGAATGAATGTTGGAGCAATAGTATACAAGGTTATTGGATGAAAGAAATAGGTTGAAAGCAAGATTGAAAAATTATGAAGAAGTTTGAGAAGATTGAGAGCAAAAAAAAGAAGAAAGGAAGGGAATAATGGTAGTAAAAATAGATTGTCAGATGTTGGATTTTAGATTGTATTCATTATTATTTTTTTTTTTTTTGTTTTTATAATAATAAAATATAAATATATATATAAAATAAACTAATAGTAAAAATAAAGTATTAAAGTCTAATTAATAAAATATTATATAATAAAAATATATATAATTGTTTAAAGAAGAAAAATATATAAAAAAAAAATTTTGTTTCTAGTATTTCAACCAAGGGCTTTACTGAACTTGGATCCTACCAAAGAGCTTCTCCTAGTCAGTTTTGAATGTATGACCTATACTGTCTGATAATATGCCTTATACTATTAATCTATACCAGAAATATTACTAAATTTTAATTTTGTATCTTTTTTGAAAATCATTAAGATACTTCAAATGTTCAATAATATTTTAGAATTTCATATAACTTGTTCTAAAACTTTAATGTTTGTTGATTATTTTTATAATTTTTTTTTTTTAACTTTAGCAGTCATGCTAGCACTTTATTAGAATTCTTGAAACTATACAGATTATATAGAATTTTCCTGATATATAAGTCTAGCATTACCTGGCCACCCAAATGGTACCTAAGTACGATTTGCCACACTATCCCAGTTAAAGATAGACTACTCATCTGACTACTGCCCTACAATAGAACATTGCCAATCTGATGACATCTTTTTGTAAAGAAGCAAAAAACAAAAAAAAAGAATTTTTTATATAAAAAACAAAACAGAGGTATAGGGATAAACAATAAAAGATACAAATCAAAAAATAAAAGGAGAAAGGGAATAAATGAGAAAAAAGGAAATGTGTGAAACTTGCAATTCACAAATATCAGACAGTCACAATTGTATGCCTGTGTTGGGCCTTTAAAAATTATAA